TTTGTCTATAGATAGCCTAGACTGTGAATTGATGGGTCTCTAGACAAGCGTAAGTGTCTAATTTCAGAGGAGTCAGCTAACGATTGGCATCTGGAAAAGTGAGAGTGACACCCGTTTCGAAGGCCTAGATCAAATGAAGTAATTATCAAAGTCCATAGGGAAGCTAAATGCCACACTAAAAATAGGCACAGGTAGGCAAATATCTCTATTTATGGGTGACAAAGAAGTTTTTTTTTATAAAAAACAAATGAAACTTAGAAAATGAGTTTTTAAGCCTCTAGACAGGTCAGATGAACCAGGGTTGTGAAACGTAAAACACACTGCGAATGCGTGTCATTTACGTCAGTGACATGCATAACATTGTGCTAAATGCGTGAAACTCGGTGGAAAGAAACTTAATAGCACTACGTACAATTAACAGTGCTAAGTTGCCTGTTATTGCCGAATTCTGTGCAAGAGAGAGGTTCCCAAGCCTTAGTGAGGTGGCTTGAAGTGTAAACTGAAAGGTAGACATGGAAATTACATGGGATTGCTTAGAAGGAGGAGCTGTTTTAGGCTACTTGGAGGTTCTTTGAAGGGATAAGAGTGCGAATTATCTTAGCGTTACCCTATAGAAGGTTGTAAATCACTTTTATACTAATAATAACCCCATCATAACACTTACTCAACCCGATGAATCTGTGATTTTGTGTTCATGTTAGTAATGAAGTAAGGAGATAAAGGGAAACTAATTGTAGTGGGCCTCCATTGGACTTGGGGTAGAATAACTGACTAGCTTTTGCAGCATTTGAATGAATTGTGCTGAAATGAGCAAAATTTCCCAGTGACCGCATAACCCTGTTGAACAGGCAGTTTGCCCTACTTCATCAAGTCATCGCCTGAACCACATTTCTAATAGTAGGATGTCAAAGGCTAGCAAGACACCCTAAATTTTTCATTTGAATGTTGTGGAAGCTTTCAAGCAATTATAAGTGCATACTCTGAAGGATTTCGGAGGTGTGTAAACAGATGCATTAATTTGTGTGACCAGATGAATTCTAAGGAAAAGGAATGGAAGGTTTGTTAATATTTAAGCGGATGGTGTACTCAAGCATGAAAAAACACAAAATATGAATGTTACTATTACATGTTTGGCCAAAACAAGAAAAATCCCCTACAAGTAAACCACTTCATAACATTTCTTTCAGCATGGACAGGTCGATACCTTCATCCCTATTAAACCATTCAATATCATCTCACTATTCTGACTAAACATTTCGAGATTATCTGTATTTGCACAAAATATTTTTAGTTGAACTTGTAAAGATTTCCACCTCCTAGACGTGTAAATTCAGTGGGCCAAACTGATCACATCTGGACGTTTTTGCTAGTACCATTCAGCCAGCCTTTGCTTCTAAGTAAAATGGGTGTCGAAGTTGTCTCAGTGTCGGTAAAATTTTGGGTGTGTGTGTGTCACCAACATTTCCAACATTTTCAATGAAAGTGGCACATCAGTCTTGATTTCCTGCGCCTACTTTGCTAAAACTAGGCTCACTAGCGGTTCTAAGGCACTTTCAATATCATAAGATTAGTAATTCGAAATTTAATGCGTCTTCAACTTGCAGCACTTTTATACAGCATACAATAACTTTTTACACACCTTGTGGGTTTGCGAATCGGTGCAGGTAATAGTCAGCAAAACTGACTAGTCGGATTCGCAGTCTGGACGGTGGAGGGAAGGGGGAGGCGGTGCGGGGACCATGCGGGCACAGAGTCGTGACCAAGTCCTGCAGATTGTTTTCCGCTGTCAATACCTCGTATATCTAAGTGATCTCAACCAACCCCATTCTGTTGTTAAACATTTCAAGAACTCGACATATCATGCAGAGCCTTTCCTCTTCTTTGTTGTCTTCAACGTTGTTTAAGTATCTGTAACATTTCTGTGGGGATGGCGCCTACAATTTCCGTATTTTTAAAGGAGCTATAACGGTCCCAGGAAAGTCTAGTTGCCCCTGCATATGCCATTTTGAATTGACACGCCTTGTCATAGCAGCACTTTTATTCAGCATACGTAAACGTTTACACCTCATGTGGGCTCACGAATTGACGCAGGTGATAGTCATCGAAACTAATTGGTCGGAATAGGAGTCTAGACAGGAGGGGCGGGGGGGGGAGAGCGGGAAGGCACCGAGTCATGACTAAGCCTTGCACACAGTTTTTAACTGTCACTGGTCCAGATGTCTTTGTAACTCCAACCGACCTCATTTGGATGTCAAACCTAGTGGGAACTGATGAATTACCCTTCGGCTACTGTGTTTTGGCCTCCTTTTGTTTATAACTGATATTCGGAATTGCCCTATAAATTCCGTGCAAATGATAGTACGAAACAGTGGCGCCGACTAAGTGGAACGTTTTAGATCGCATGCGAAGTCATGAGAAAGGCATCAACACACATTCGGATTGACACCTCTACAATTCGGGCCGTCTTTAGCCTAACCACACGCAGCAGGTTCGCTGGAGGGGAGCGTGGTGTCAGCAACGCCGCTCTGAGGTGTGAAATCGTCAGAAATCATGTAAAACTGCATTCACACAGTGTGTCTATTACACACCTGCAGACTGTCACAAGGTGAACTTTCACAGGGCGATTATATTAAACCTCAAATAGCATTTTTACAAAGCCTACATAAGATTAACATTTGGGTACAACCTACATCATCATTGCATATGCCATTTTATGTGTGCCTCTTAGGTAAAGCATTGCCTTGGCTTGGTGATCCTAGTGGATACCTAGGTTTACGTAGTCTCTAAGGCAACAATAGTCATGGTAGTGAACGTCTTAACAATCAGCTTTTTGGGAAAATATGATAATATCTCGCATTGTGAATCCCCTCCTCCCCCCCTCCCCCTTAATAAGCGCACTAACACTTTCTCCCTTTTTAACAATTGTGATCAAATGGTTTTTAGTTGTTTGGTTTTGCAAATCCGAAATCCATCTACCATGGGAACATGATTAATTACCATCAAATCTACACATCATTACAAACGGATCCGAGGCATTCGAGAATAAAGCAAATGATGAGAGATAATTTTACGAGCTTAAAATAAATTGCAACTTGACGGTAACTGCTGTAGTGTCGTTTGCATGCACCTGTCTTAAAAATAAAACGCGGAACTTTTTTTTCCCTCGAATTATGCCGATTTAGAATCGCATCATACCTTCGGCATATTTCATTGGGTTTACACTGACGCGTTGAAGTGTGCACGAAATGATTCGCCAGCATTTCGTCATTCACGGTGAACAAAGCAACGCATTGCCCTTTAGCAGTACAAACTCAGCGCTTTAATCGGGCACAAGTAAAAGAGCATGGGGTTAGCCAACAGCCAAATGCTTCGATTCATGAATACGTTCAAGGCGCTCATTCCTGGAGTCGGATGCTTGTACAAAATCAAGGTGGTCAGATTAGCTTCTATAAAAAGAAAGTATGGACTGAATAGGGACAAACAGAAGCACAAAGTGTGGGTGTTGCGATGTGATTAAAAGTAGTATTGCGGTAAGCACTTTATATGGGTGGTCAATGTCCATCTCCAAATTCGCAAACGGGAGCGGTAGATGTGCAAACAAGAAGGCGCTACAAGATTTTCCACGATGTAGAACTTTGGAGTGAAGTGATGGTACAATAGCATTGACATGAGAATCCAGAGAATGTGAAAATGCCAGCTGGCACTTTCTCCCTACAACGCTATGCCGTCTAGATCCATCCCATCTTCATGATGATGCAACAAGTATCACCGACTTCATTGAATCTGTCGTCTATTCTTCTAGTAATTAAAGTTGGACTACTGAAATAATTAAATACTTTCTATTTAAACCTTAACATGGCAGCAACAAGGGTAGAACCCGCATTCTTTAATTACTACAGCAACTTCCCATCCCCCGCACTCCACAACTTCTAATTTTATCACATTCAATTAGAGACGCATCACACATCACTGACCTAATTGCCCCAGTCATCATCTCTTCCTCTACTGCAATTCAAACCACCAAAATTAGACAAACAATTTCCATTTAAATCTTAACAAAGCAACAGCAAGGGCAGAATTTTTACTCCTTAATTACGCTCTCACGAAGGCATAGGTGATGGAAATCAGGCAAATAAACCACGTCACTTGAAGAGAGGAAATGTGGACTGTGACGACTCACAAATTGACCGTGACCACTTGCAAAGGATAATTTCGACCAGACACCAGTACCCGATGGTAATGAGCAGCTCGTGAAAAAAAAACAAAAGTCAGGTATAAAATGATTTGTTCAACAGCACAGGGGAGAGAAAAGTGCACAAGTGCACAAGGGGAGGATGGATTGCCATATAAAGTGTAATTAAAATGGACCAACATAAGGTTCTGCAGATAAACTACAGAATCCATTCCAATAGACACCGATCCGATCGTGACAAAGGGACAGCAAACGCACTGCACATTTGTAAGCAGACGTAAATATTTGGATTTCATTAATAAACAATGAACACACAGAAGGTCTCGACTTAATTCTTCATGCTCCTTGG